GATTTTGTTGCCTGCTCGATCTCTTGTACCTCTCGTTCTGTAAACAAGTTGGTGAAATGTATATCTACATAACTGTATATACCTCGAAATGCATAGCCAATTTACAGAGTGGGCTACCCTCTCCTCCTCCTGATTCTAGATAAAGTCGGACTCGCGCTTCGTAAAAGAATCATCCACAACGGGACATACCCTTTCGTAGTGGGGACGGAGTCACCTTTCCGTGTATCTAGGGACTTCTGTTGCCTGATGTGTAGGCAATATCTCGAGTGCGTCGAGCAGCGAATAGCTACAAGCTCCAAAGACGCCAGTTGGAGAGGGTTTATGAAGTTTTTGTATGTCGTGCATGCCAATTTCGCTACTGCTTGGTTGTTGGATGGTGATCAACGGTGGTGGTCAGGTCGAAAGTCAAGTCGAGACCTTGCCACCCATTCACGATAATACTTAGTACGGCCGTGGTCAAGCATACTACCTACTATCTTACAGCATTGCTACATTTTGCGGTATGTGTAATACGGATTTAATTTCTAGATTGAATGGCGTTTTCTGGGTTACCTAAGTTGGAAGCTGGGCTTTCAACTAGTATCATGGGCGTCCATCCGTTCCGAAACAGACATTAATATTTCCCTTCTCTGCAGTAGATGGGAAAGACTCTGGGTGAAATCGCGGTATTGACCTTTTAATCGCAATACCAATCGGATATAGGTCGATAAGGAGAGGTAAGAGCATTTATTGGAGATGTTTTCTGCCACTTAGGAAATCAACCTGCCAGAAGAGCATCAGAATCATTTGTTTCCAATGTCGTCCACATCTGCAGCCATTGACCCGTTGGAGACGGTTCCTCGTTACGAAGGACTTGATAAGATATACGATAGTACCCTCAAGTGTTTGAGCATCCTAGTCCCTTGGCAGGAGGCGAGGTACTTGTATTGTATTCTATATTTCTACAGTTTACTCATGCAAAGTATATAGTGCCAGGAACGAAAAGCTACAAAGTATCATAACGAGGATTCAAATGTATAACCTCCTCTACTTTGAGGCTCTTGATAACAGTATT